TTGGACCTCTAACGAGTGTGATTATCGACGACGGCCAGCGAAATGCTTCCGGCTGTCTGGCCATATTTTTAAGCGACCGCACGTGTGACCCCCAAAAAGAAACTTTGGCGCCCAGCCCAGGGCATTGGGTGGGGTCATTAAATAGCCATCCGAATGACAATTGTCGGTAAATAGTTTTTCCAGCAACTCGAGTTACGTGCACATGGCCCACAGGAAGTTTGCGGCAAGAGCTGAGCGACTCTAACGACCCAATTAATTTATTGAATTAACGCTGGAAACCGGGCACTTAATGCACTTTACGACGGCGCGAAGAGCGGATCCATTTGACCAGTCGAGGCCCACCAATTGACTCGATCGAATCACCGAGAGACTGCGATATGCAAATTAGCCACGAATGCGTGATCGAGCTGATGTTGTTTGATCAGAGCCCAAGAGCAGCGGGTCGCATCCCATTTCCCTGTCTTTCACTCGTTAACAACTCAGCGGAGAAGACAAAGCTCGGCTTTAAATGCTCCGATCAATCAAACTCGCAATGCAGGTGAGTTCGGGATGGGGAAAACTCAGTGAGAAATGACCACGAAAATACCCTATAAATTAGACTAGTAAAATGAGCAATGACATTGAAACCAAGACTTGCTTTCGGTTCAGACATCTTGATTTATGTTTTACATAAAATTAAATAATATTTATTTCACTAACTTCGCTACTCTTAGTGATTAAATCAAATCCCACTCTAACTTCTCATTTTTATATTTATTCAAGTAGCTCGTTAAAGTTGACAGCAGCAGCATAGGAGTCTCGAGAGCTTTGGACATGCTAGAATTGAAACGCGATACATGGGGCATGCAACATATAGCATAATAACCCTGCCCAGTTCCATCTTTGTTAGCTTTATCAACACATTGGCAGCCCAGTTAGTTGGCTCTGAATGGAATTGGTTCACTGACCAGTCAGTCACCACTACCAAAGAGTTGATTTTTGGCCCGCTCTGCGAACCATTTTTGGTCTTTGTGATTGGCAGGCATCTAAGTCGCGGCATATAAGCGCTTCATTATGGCAAAATGAAAAGTGTTTCGCCTTCATTTCCTGGCCAAAAACAACAACGAGAGCCGTAGGAAATTATGCAAAAAGCATAACGAACCTAAAAACATCGAAGCAGCAAGACAACAATACACCTTGCGATTGCATCGATCGGAAAATATCAAGTGAAAGTTGACAGCTATCTAAAGATACGTTTTGGGTTTCTATTTTGTTCCTGAGGTGAGCTGGCAGTGGATTGGTAAAGGGTAACAATTTCTTGGGTGTTCCCAGCAATTATGGTAATCGGATTATGGCCAAAGGGTATAGCACTACGAGGAGTAGGAAAGCCAAAGAGATCAAATGGTCAATGCAGATCGGACGCAGAGCAATTTCATACTTTCATTTTTAGTGTTAACCATTTCAGGTGAGAATATAGAAACTTAATAACCATTTTTAGCAGATTATTAAAGCTGCAAAGCACTCTTAGGTTAGACTCCCTTTGAGTTCTTTATTTAATTTACAAGCTGCCTAAGCTAAAAAGTTACTTTGACTTCGCCCTTTTGGTTTCCTCCGCAGCTTTTCATCTTTTCTTTTTCTTTAGAAAAACTTTTCTCGCGCCATTTCAGGCTGAAGAATTCCTTGATTGAAATTCAGCATACTTTTTGTTTTCTTTGCGCAACCTTCACTCCGAAAAACGTTGGCAAATTGAAAAGCCAACGCCGCTGCCGCAATACCATTTGAGTACATTTTATTTTGTTTCTGTAGTGGGTGGTGTTACAGTTAGCTTGTTGTAGCTGTTGCTGGCTCTATTTTCCAGCATAATTTTTACAACACAACGCCCACAACACTTTCTCGCATAGTTAAGCGAATTATACAAAAAAACAGCAAATGGAAATGCTAAAAAACGAAACGAAACGAAACACACAGAGCACAGAAAATGAAAATGGTAGAAATATTTCTGTCTAGCATTATTTTGCAATTTCCCACATAATTATTAAGCGCCAATGCTGGAGGGAGACAGCGGGGGGAGAGTGAAAGGGAGATAGGGAGAGGTGGAGCGAAATGAAAGCAAACAAAAGTTGCCGCCGACTCTCGAAGCTCAGGTACAGAGAGAAAATGTATATTAATTTAGCAGAAAATGGTAATAAGATCTTTGTTTTTTAACTATTTTTAAACTATTAATTAATAAAAAAAGAAAATAGTAAAGTAAAGTAACTTTTAGTTAAGATAACTTTACATTACAGAAGAACATTAACCATATATGGCCAAGCCTCTTGAACTTCTTTCCAGTGCAGAGACAAAAGCTGAAACCGAGACCGAGCCCCAGGAGTATCATCTTCCCCACCGAGGCAACACTGTACAGTAAATAATAATTTAATGCACGGCAAAAAGAGAGGAGACAGCAGACAAGCAGAGCAGAGAGATGCAGCAAAAAATGCAAATATGATAATAATAATGTAAAAAGCACAAAAGCATGCCAGCACGTCAAGTGAAAATTAAGAAAGAGTCGTTCCATGCCACAAAGACACTCACACACACACACAGCAGAGAGAAATGCAACACACAGATACAAAGCTGGTTGTCTTCTAACAACCGACCAAAGAGAACTGTCGACTGTTTGATGGAAATTATAGCCACAGCAGCTATGGTTGTGGAAAATCAGAGCCAACGGCAGAACAAGCCCAAAGAGACCTGATCAAAACCAGTAGACAACAACCGCCGGAAACAGGTGTCGTCTTTGGAGGCGAGAGAACCCAGAAAGCCCTGCCAGGCGGCCATGAAGTTCGGAACACATAAATAAGGTCTTAAGTATGCTTAACCATATACGACTATCATCCGCTGAGCGGGCATTACCGATATCAGACATTATGGACAGACATTCCTCTGTATCGCAACGCCTACCGACCATTTCCCACTGATGATTTCCCTAATAAACATAAGCGGATAAGTGATTTAATGGTTTTCTTCGATTTTATGTGGCCTGAGATGGATTGAAAGTAAAGTATTTCTAGTAACTTGTAAGTAATGTAGTGGATTCTTTGGGTATGTAACATAGAAGCTTAAAGGGAGTGCCATTGCCCCATCATCAGTAACCAAAGTGCTAACCAAACCAAGAAGACACTCTTCAGCTCATTCCTATGCTGCTTATATCATCATAACACCAAACATTCATCATTGCTGACTTCACCTAACATCGGTAGCAAATATTACCTGTACTTAGTGAGAAAGAAGAGCTAATCTCCCATCCCAGTGATGTCACCAGGTGGTGATCTCATTTCAATACTCCGCACACCCGAATAAGCCCCGAAAGAAGCTTATAGCCCGGCATCATTATATTCATCCCATCACCCCCAACTTGGCCGTTAATTAGGGGATTACATTACGCGCGAAACTTTGCCTGGCAGCTGGACAAAGGTAAGTTAGGTAGAAGCCCCTCAGAGCTTCCAATTGAATGCCGATGAAGTTTGATCCAGGAGTCTCGACGAGAGGCACGTTTCCAACTGCCATAGGTAAATGAACTCTTTGCCCACCCCCTTTTTCTTCAACTGGCGGATTCTTCACCTAGACAAAAGCTAACGGTAATCGGGTCCATAGAAGAGAGAGAGGGAGAACGAAAGAGCAAGAGCTGGCAACGATTTTGCGGCTTCGCAAAAGTTCGTGAGAAAGCCAGGCAACAAACTGTAACAAAACTGATTACGGCCAACATAATTTATGGCCAGCAAAAGCCCAGAAGAATTCTCTGACGGTTTGAGAAGAACCCAGAGAGAAGCTTGGAGCACCCACTGATTGATTGATTGGCCTTCCAAGCTAATGCGATTCTTGCCCTGGAAATTGTACACATTTTTCTGAGTGAGTTCAAAGTTTTTGGTATTCAGTGTCAACACGAAAGAGGCGAGGAGGGAGCAGCGAAATAAATACCAATTTGAAGCACACACAGAAATGACGTCAAGAGGCGAAGGTATATAGTACATATATATATATATTGGTTAAAAAGACCAAACGAATGCAGTCAAAGGTGGTTGGATGGGCTTGGTTTCGGTGGTCAAGAGTGAGTCTGGAAATGCCAGACGATGCTTTTGTTTCAGTTGAAAACATTTTACACACATTTTAAAATAAATAAGAGCCCCAGCTAACCGGCGTCGTTCTATGAAAAATATGAAAAAACCTGTTTTACAAATGGGCTTATGAAAGTAAAGCCAGTTAGGGGTGCAAAAAGGCTTTCTAGGGGAGTCAGTCGAGGCGAACACTACGAGAATGAATCATTTATGTACACTCTTGACCCGCCTTTAATTCAAAGCTTTTTTGGACTTGAATTTGATGATTGATTTCTGAGCACACTATCACAAAAACACTTTGGGCCTTGTTTCTTGACCAATTTTGGTTATTATTTTCCCCTCGATCACGAAACGCGATCTAATCAAGATCACGAATAACACGAAAACGCGAGGAATGCAGAACGCAGAGCGAGCGGCACGTTAGCATTGAAAACCCGCCGCCAACTGAAGAGACAGCGGCAAAAAGCAAACTGCAGGCAAAAGCCAAATGCCGTTTTATCGACGACACCAGATACATTTGTATCTACAAACTTACACTCATGAAATCCCGCTCTCCGCCATGGGACTACACTCTTGGCGAGCAGCTGCTTGGTGGTCGATGAAAAGCCGGTTCGCGGCTTTAAACTTTGAGCATTCTACTTAGCAGTTTTGAAGTTTGGCTCGAGAAATCCAAGTTTGTTTTGCGGTGAGAGATAGTTTCGTCTATCTCTTAGGTTGCCTTTGTGCATGTTGCTGCAACATTAACTGCTTGAATGAACTGCTTGCGGGGAGTAAAGTTTAGCAGTACGATCATAAGTTTAAAAGTGTGAAGCATACTTTTAGGATTTCGTATGAAATTTCAAGTAAGTAAAGATTTAAGTCATGTCAAATTTAAAGTTAGAAAGTGAATTATCAAATATTTTCCATTATTTTAGGGATACTTACGCAATTGAGTGTTTGCCAATAGCTTTGGAGATCCGCTCCCAGACACAGAGGTCGATGGCCGGGACGTCGAGGCACTGCAATTCAAACTCAAGTCGCTGTGCGAACTCTTGTGGCTGTCCTTGCTGTACGAGCGACCACTGTAAAGGAAGACAGAAAACCTCAATTAGTTGCGATTTCAAATTAATTACCCAACAATCCACTTCTCAATAAAACAACCTAATTGCATCGTGGAGCAACATTAAATTAATTCAGTGAAATTATGCCCATAACCAATGCTAACTTTTTTGGCCGGTCGTCGTTTTTCCTTCTCTCTTTTCACCACCTCAACATTTTCCGTAGCTTTTCCAGCAATCTGAAAACTTTGCAACGCGTCGGCGTTGAAGATCCACAAAGCTGTGAAATTATTGCAAACATTCTTCAAGCGTCGCTGAGCAATCACAAAACAGAAACAAACAAAGCAGGTGAAAATTGGAGAATCATTCGGAAAGACGCGTCAAATTTATTCGCCGCCTCTTTCCGTTAAGTGGGTGAAATTTCCTTTTCGTCGCCGCTGTTAAACTATTTTTTTCGCTTGCATTTTTTTTACCAACGACTTCCGCCGACAGCGCGCTAATTGAAAACTTCACAGAAAAAAAAATAAAGGAAAATGGAAAATCTCAGCAGGAAACCAACCGCACAGAGAAAAACCGAGAGTGGCCAAAAGGAATTAGCAGTGCCAACTGCGTTTCCGTTAGCCAGCAACATAACTATCATTTTTTTTCGCTCATCCAGCAGTTGCAAAAAAGTTGTTTTGTCGTTTGTCGCAGCGGCCAAAAGACATTTTTCATATTTATAAATTTTCTTTTTTGCCCTCTCCTGTTCCTCTCCTCCCTTTCTATTGCTTTTAATTGAAATTATAAAAAGTTGTTCATGTTTAAGCCCTAGTTTTAGAGTAATAAACAGGCGAAAGGTCAGCTTTTCCCTAATTGTCAGTTTATTACAAAAAATCTTCGAAAATTCATAGTAAGCCTACCACTCGAAGGATGCCCGCATGGCACACCACAGTAAAACAATGACTGGATGCATGCTGAGTAGCGTTGAAGAGTCGGGAGATGACGTAAATTCTGTCAGCAATCTACCAGTCATTCTCAATATAAGCGATTTGATCCTCAGACTGAAGAACTTCCGCCGCGGTAAGCAGCAACGCCTCCCTTTGATCGAGTCGGAGGTGAGCAAGCTGTGTGGCCTGGCCAGAGATCTTTTCCTGGATGAACCCATGATGCTGGAGGTGTCGGCTCCCATAAGGGTGGTGGGTGACATACATGGCCAGTACCCTGATCTGCTTCGAATTCTTGACCACTGTGGATATCCTCCGCAAACGAGTTACCTCTTTCTCGGGGATTACGTCGACCGGGGGAAGAATTCTGTGGAGACGATCACCCTGCTATTGGCCCTGCGCGTAAAATTCCCGAAACACTTTCATCTGCTGCGTGGTAACCACGAATCCCAGTCGGTCAACAAAGTTTACGGCTTCTTCGACGAGTGTAAGCGACGCTACACGATCAAGATGTGGAAGACCTTCGTCGACTGCTACAACTGCATGCCCGTGGCGGCGACCATTTCCAGACGCATCTTCTGCTGCCACGGCGGCCTGAGCCCCCAGCTGAATAAACTCAGCGATATCGACTCGATCCCCCGGCCAACCGATGTACCCGAGACGGGTCTGCTCTGCGACCTGCTATGGAGTGACCCGGATAAGTCTGGCTTCGGTTGGACGCCGAGCGATCGAGGTGTGAGTTACCTCTTCGGACGCGATGTCCTTGAAAAGTTCCTGCAGAAGTTTAACTTCGACTTGGTCTGTCGTGCCCACCAGGTTGTGGAGGACGGTTACGAGTTCTTTGCCAAGCGCCAGTTGGTCACCGTCTTCTCGGCACCGAACTACTGTGGAATGTACGACAACGCTGGGGCATCAATGGGCGTGGACAAGGACCTGGTAATCTCTTTCGATGTGCATCGGCCTGATAATCGGAAAGCAATTCTGAAAAAGGTTAGCGTTGTCCAGGCTGATTGAAGGAAAGACCCTTCGAAATTTTTCAGAATTCATATCTGGTGATATTCAAGATCAGTTTCACTGATCGCTTGGAAAAATAAATGTAGTTACAAAATTCAGCGCACTTACGTCTTCTTGCTCAACCTTTTTAGCTTCAACACAAATATTTATCAGGCAAACAACAAACGAAACGCTAAAAGCCGAGTGCAAGTAAACTTTCCCACCTCCTAAACCAACATTACTTTAGAATATTTAATTTTTTGCCGGCAAAAGCGAACACAAATCAATTTCTCCGCTCAAACTATGCCAAGTCATTGAGAGTTTTTGCAACGAACATCGTTCACCGGCACAAGCCCAGAGCTACCGTTTGGCAATGCATTATTTTCACTGCCAAGGTTTGTTTTCTGTGTCAACCGAGTTGGCCATTTAAGGCGCCGCCTTGGCCATTGCAATGAAATAAAAGTAACAGAGCCAAGCCCCAAGGAAAAGCTAACATTTCCGCCAGAGAAGTCTGCTGCCAAAGCCAGAAACAAGTTCATCAGTCCACGGTAACAAGTGCGAGTTATGAATGTGGAGTTTTCCCAAGGCGAGGGGGAGTCAGAGGGAGGAAAGTCAGCGACTGACCGGTAAATAGATTTAATTATGCAAAACGTAAAACGAACCCATCGGCACGCTGGAAAGTGCGCTGAAGCGTTAAGCATTGGCGGAAATCGAGTGAGAGAATCGATTGAACAGAAAGAGTCGGCTAGACCCTAGCAGAAAGAGAGGGAGACAGACTGCTCGCCATATAAACAAATTGTAAATTTTAAATAGTCCACCGAACTGAGCCGTTGGGGCTGAGTCTTCGCCTTAATCCCATGACGTTGCTATAAATATTTATTATATCATCCCCATTCCACCCATTCCAACCGGAGACAAAGTGCAAAAACGGTCGACTGAGGAGCTGCTGCAACTGCGATGGCTCGTAATTAAAATGCATTATTAATGAAATGTAAATGTCGAGACATTAATGAAAACGAGAGGGCAGACCAGCAAGCAAGTGCAAGATTTAAGCCCCTCCATGAAACCACCTCCTCGAGTTACTAGGACTTACAATTTCATTAAAAGAAATCAAAACATAAAATCAGGATTCAAAAGTCAATAAGTTTCTAGAGAAAACATTAAAAATATGTGAAATATTCGGCAAGATATGAAGTGACGTTATGTGACATTCCTCTTTCGGAAATATACCCCTCGTAAAGCAGATAAGTTTCAGAGTTTCAGTGCAACGACAGTCCCTGGGAATCCCCTATGATGTGAGGGAACCATCCACCCACTTAATCCCACCCTACATGCTCACTCAGCCTCACTCCTACACATCCATCTCATTTGTCAACGCTTCGGGCTGTGAAATCGTTCTTACCCTTTCACCGACGTGGCCACCAATCGGACGGCAGCTTTCTGGGCGGAATGATGATACCTCACTGGGTCCCCAACACCGCCAGTCATCAGGGTCATTAAGGCCAGCATTCCCTTTCTTTTCCTGGGTCGTGTCACGTGCTCATTGACGATCGAACTTAGGTTTCCTTTTGATATTTTACGCGTTTTAAGAATAAATAAAATATACACATATACAGAGTCGACTTTAGCAGTTATTTAACTGACTGTTAGGGCAAGCCCAACTTTGGTAATTTGCTTTTTTACTTTTTGGATCCCCTGCATTTCTGCTGCTCAATCAGATATTGTATCTTTCAAATTCAAATCTGCATTTCCCATTGTCCTTCTTTGTTACCTGATTCAGGTGTTTATTGCACAATTCCCAGAGCTATTGATGTCCCCTTCCCCTTCTGACACTTGTAAATGTTCACTTTTACAAGCTGACAATTAATTCTTTCACTTTTTGCGAATAGATGCCGCAGGCTGCATTTTAATTGCCACAGCAACAAGGACAGAGGCCACATTAAAAGCCATGACAAAATCCATAAAAATTCTGACAACTGAGCTTCCATTTTCCCATCGATTTTTTCCTGCTTGTTTTTCTATGGCTCTTGGCCAGGCTGGTAGCCATTGATCTTTGCCCTTTGGCATGCAGAAAGAGTTGCCCGAAATGCAAAAAGAAATTGACGTGGCAATTAGGCGGCTTCCTCTCTTTTCCAGCCAAAAGCCAACTTCGAATTGCAGTTTCCTCAATAATTCGTCTTTATTGCTGTGGCAGCCATCCATCTGGACTGCCCACTGTCCACTGTCCAGTGTCCGGCTGCATGTATCTGTTATGCAACTGTTTGCCATCTCCCTCGATTCCAGTCGATTCCGAAGGCGAGGCAGAAGCAGAAACAATTCGTACTCTTAATGAGCTTCCATTAAACTTAATTGCTGTTGGAGTTCTGTTTGCCGTCTGCTTTGTTTGTCCAGGGAGGATGCTGAGTTTTCATTAAGATTCGACGTTGGCAAACGTTTGGCAGATATATCCTCCTCCTCCGCTTTTGCTTTTTTCATTTAATTGAGATTTGCATACCCTCCTAGTGGCTCTTGATTTCCAGGGGTATTGGATTTGGTATTGTAAATAGAAAAGGAAATATGACAAACTAAATCTCAAACTCAATTGCAATGTCTGAGTGCCTTTGAAGTTTCCCCCCTTGCATTTGTATCTTCTGCATACTTTCACTACGCCATAGCCAATTTGATTTAATGGCCATAGACTGGCAGTGATTGCACTCTGCGGCTGCCCTCTTAACCCCAAAAGAACATTCTGCGAATGTAGAATAATTAAATTGTTCACTTCCTCTGCGGCGAGCGGCACAATGAGTTCATTATGCGATTTCTTGCAGATATATATACACGGTTTTTATCTTGCGAAAACTCTCATTAATCAATTCTTTTGTTCTGGAAAATAACTAGGTGACCCTTTGTTTTGGATTATGCTGAGATCTAATTGCCCTACCCACCTCCAATAGAGACATCAAACAATGAAGAGGAACTCGCCGGAATGTGCTAAAAGTGCTTTTGAAGATGCCTCCTGTATCTGTATCTGCATCTGCTTAACAATTAATATAAATTAATTTCAACTTCTTTTCCATTTCACGCAACGTAAATTCTGTTTGGTGACAACATAACCAGACTAACAACTTCCAGAGGCGAGCACAATGAGAGCTTCAATCTAACCAACCAAACCAGACGGAATCGGGGGAAACAACAAGCTACTTTTGTTAAACGCATGAGTTATTAATGAACATTAGCAGCATTTGATGTCGTCGCAGACCGCAGACAGGCCAGCGTCATGAAATGGTAACAATAACGACTCTCAACTGGAGTGCAGTGCTCCAGAGTGGTCGCCATGAAGCCGGAGACACTCTATCCGAGAGCTGAGGAACTCTAATGGAACCCGGAGTGGTTATAAATCTGTTTAAGTAGCTACAAGTTAAAGTGGCTCACTTCAGTTAGATTCGTTCATAAACCCACCTAGTTTTTGCACCTTTAAGTGACTTTAACTTGAACTTTAATGGGTTAAGAAATTTCAATAATTTGTATAAAAATAGTCTAAAAAGGGGACAACTTATATTTCCTATTACTTTTGTTTGCCACATTTTATTTGATCAGTTTGTCAGACTTTGCTTAGCAGTCTCGAAAGCATTACCCAATGGCAGAGACCCCTCCTAGAAAGGGGTAAGGCAAACAACGAACCGCCGCCTGTTACCCAAGTCTAATGACTCCGACTCATAGATGGGCATATAGACTGACTGACTGACAACCTGCTCATTCGCTGTGCCACACTTTTTCCTATACTGCAACAGTTTGTGTCATATATGGCCAGTGGGATATGCCTTGCAATAGCATTGGGGTTAGGAAACCATTGCAAATATCTTGGCTGTTGGATGTTGGATGGAAGACAACACGCTATGCTCAGTGATTCAATGATTGAGATACAATACTTAACAGAGAGCCGACCAAGCGCAGAAATGTGCAAATTAAAGTGGCTGCGCGATAAGAAATGTAAATGTTGTTCTTCCTAGCTGCTGGTTCTAATGGAGTCGTCATAAGTTGGGGGGGGCTCGGTGAAGATCTATCGCCGCGTTCGTGTCTGCTTTCATTAGAGGCTTTGTTCTAATTTTTCTTACAGCTATTTGACATTGAATGGATCAATGGGACGTAGCAACGATTTCCTAGAACAGTAAGGAAAACTTCAACAAAAATGTTTGTTCCTCATAAATAAATAAACAAATTGCATAACTTTCCCCAAGGTTTTGCTTTCCATTGCATGAGATTGATGTTCGAATAACATTAAAAATCATATTAAACTGAATTGCGGTCAACTGAGGAATTGCCTTATAAATTGCAATAGCCGTCCAGCAAAATATTAGCTTTTCCCCGCGGACCATTCGCCGTAAGAATTATTGTTGTTGTCCAAACTGTTTGTTTTCCAAAGAGCACGCATACATTTCGCGTCTGAGTGCAAACAAAAACAAGAGCCAAGCTCGGGCAATGGGAAATGGTTTTTGAGCAGAATTTAGCACATTAGCGCAGTCGAGTGGAACCCCAAAACGGAAATCCAAGAAACGCTAAAAGTGTCCATTAGAAACATGCATAAATGTATTAATTGTCGTAGAAAAAATCTTGCTAAAATCTTGCTCGTTTCGCTCTGGGAAGTGGCCCAACTTTAGCAGCTGTAAGGCAAAAACCAAATTGATTCTGGGCTTTGGAAAACGGCGCCGTTTTGCTTGAGTGCTTCCTAATATTTCCCATTTTCCATTTTCCAACCATGTACAATGGACGAAGCTGAGCGTAAACATTTCAACAACTTTTTGTGTTGGCATTTCTGCGAGAATATGAATACTGGAACAAGAGATAGTCGAGCTCTGATTAAAGTGTGGTTTAGGCTTCTTGGATTTATAGTCTGAGTACTTTAATGTCTTCATAATGAAAGAGTGAATCTCTGTGATTAGTGTTAAAGTTTATGTTTAAGGTTTCTAAACCCCCTTGGAATGTTTACTTCTGTTTAATCACAAAAATTGATTCACAATTTGTTATGAAAATAATCAAATTTACTATAACTTATAAAAACAATCTAGTCTCCTTACAAATCTTCCAATCTTTAAACTAAAACCAAAAATCAAAATCAAAACCCCATCTTGTGCTGGCTAGTG